AGGTTGGCAGGAGCTGGGACCAAGCAACGGGAGCTCACCCCGTCGTGGGGATTCGAACCGCCGACCTTCTGATTGGCAAGTCCTAGGCTCTGTGGTTTAACCCACAGCGCCACCCGATGTCCTTATGAACAGCTAATTCTGAAGACGGTTCGCTATTCCTTCTTGCCTTTCCAATCCACCATTGAAATCGCATCACACCTCCTCCCAATTCAAGTTAGAAGTTGGTTGTCTCAGCCGCAGGCCCTCTCTCCATCTGGGATGTGGGGAGTGAGGAGGTCCTGTGCCTGGCGCTTAGATACCAGCCCCGATAAGCATCTTCTAAATGCTGGCAGAGAGATCCGATGGATTGTGACATTGTCTCATGCAACAGGCAAGCCGTTCAAGGGCAAGGAGATTCGCCGGTTGGAGAAATTGCTGTTATTTGAAAGCCAGACACGACTCGCTGTCATTGGAACTGACAGGGCAAAGGCAGCGCTGGCAGAGAGTTATGGAGAAGCCACCAGTGACTCTGTAGTTAAAGGTGTACAAAGGACTGCAGCTGGAGATTTACAAGGGAGAAAGAAAAGGGACTGCTGCCCTTTCTGGATGTGTCCTCGACGCAAGAAGGAATCTAGTCGAAGGCTGGCAGAAGGATTCAGCCTCTTGGTTGAATATTCTGTCTGTAAAAGAGGTTTTCAGCACAAATCTCTCCCCCTCTTTCTGTCACTGGGTTTGGGAGAAATCCCTCACCTGTCGTGTTTTATTCTCAAGAAAGAAAGGGTCGGGATGTGCAGCTTTTCAAAAGTTCAGGGAATCCAATATTGAAGAAATACCATCTTAGACGAAATACAATCTTTCAGACATAATGGGTGATGTGCGTTTTTTTATTATTAAAAAAACCTGGATTTTAAATACAAAGATAAGGAATGTGTTTCTTCACCGGTGTTGCATAAGATACCATTTTAGAAGGCAGTCCTATGCTGCAGGGAAAGGGGCCGTAGCTCAGTGGTGGAGCATCTGCTTTGCATTCAGAAGGTCCCAGGTTCAAATCCTGACATCTCCAGGTAGGGTTAGGAGAGAGGCCGTCCTATGAAACCCTGGAAAACTGCTGGCAGTCTGTACAGACAATACTGAACAAAATGAATCAATGATCTGATAGTCAATGAGAATAGCGATGGAGAAATTGCTTTGCATGAAGGCAGCCTCAGGTGACATCCCTGGCAACTTCTGGTAAGGCTGGGAATGTCCCCTTCCTGAGACCCGGGAGAGCCAGTGCTAAAGGCAATGGACTGATGTTAAGACTAGCAATGGCTGCTAACCCTGAAGGATATGTGCTGCCTACATGGCTGGAAGCAGCGTACCTCTGGATCCCAGTTGCTGGAAGCAACAGGAGGGCAGAGGTTTCTTGTGCTCAGGTCCTGTTCGCTGGTTTCCTAGAGACTTCTGGTTGGCCTCTGTGAGAACAGCTTGCGTGTCAAGACCCCGCAGCCACCCCCTCATTGGGAAATAACACACACAAGGACACAGATCTTAATAAGGTAAAGGGACCCCTGACCATTAGGTCCAGTCGTGACCGACTCTGGGATTGCGGTGCTCATCTCACTTTATTGGCCGAGGGAGCCAGCGTACATCTTCCGGGTCATGTGACCAGCATGACTCAGCCGCTTCTGGCGAACCAGAGCAGCGCACAGAAACGCCGTTTACCTTCCCGCCAGAGCGGTACCTATTTATCTACTTGCACTTTGACGTGCTTTCGAACTGCTAGGTTGGCAGGAGCAGGGACCGAGCAATGGGAGCTCACCCCGTCACGGGGATTCAAACTGCCGACCTTCTGATCGGCAAGTCCTAGGCTCTGTCGTTTAACCCACAGCACCATCCGCGTCCCACTCCCTCATTGGGAAATAACACATACAAGGACATGGATATTAGGTTTATGTTATTGGGCAAATTTGGCCACAACTTTATTGAATTACAGAATGTGAGCGGTATTGGCTTAGGCATTGATTGGACCCAACTATATCTGACTCCTGTCCGATGTGCAGGAAGTCCAATAAGGGTAAACCACTGGATGGAGGAGCCCGGGCTTCGGACAAGATCAACACTCCCGGATTCCTTTAACGGAATACCCTTAAGCTTGGAGGGGCAGGTGATGGCCACACCTCCTCTCCCCCACACAAGGTCAAACAGTGCCTAACCGCAGCCCTAACAAAGTTGTGATGATTGCTACGAGGAAGGCAAAAACTCAATGGCCAGTGCCAATTTGCCAAGTGGAAAAAATCCTACCAGGCCCCTCGACGACGACCATAGCAAGGCCAGTGCCTAAAACCTGCAAAATAGGGTGATTGAGGAAGCAAGCCAAAGAGGAAGCCCTCCGGCTTGCTCCTCTGATTTAAACGGACCTGGCCACCCCACCCCCACCCCCCGGCCAGCGGATTGGCTGGCCAGGCTCTGACGTGGCTGGGATCCCCCGGGCAACGGGGGACAGAATCCCCCGTCCCCAGTGGGGAGTGTGTGGCCACATGGTCCACCGCAACTCCTCCCCACTGGGAAGTGGAGCGGATATGCTGGACGAGATAGGCCACTGGGTTAATCCAGGACGCTCCTCTTATGTTCTTAAATTTATGCTATGCCAGCATTAGGGAAAGATGGGTATGGGTTGCCAAAAAAACAACAACAAAAAACAGCCTAGCAGGCCAACCTCCTATACAGTGGTACCTTGGGTTAAATACTCTTCAGGTTACATACGCTTCAGGTTACAGACTCTGCTAACCCAGAAATAGTACCTTAGGTTAAGAACTTTGCTTCAGGATGAGAACAGAAATTGTGCTCCGGCGGCGCCCAGCAGCGAGAGGCCCCATTAGCTAAAGTGGTGCTTCAGGTTAAGAACAGTTTCAGGTTAAGAACGGACCTCCAGAACGAATTAAGTACTTAACCCGAGGTACCACTGTACCTGGTGGGCTGAATATCTGAAGAGGGAGGGAGCCTTTACCATTCTTTTTAACGCTGAGAGGTGTGGGCACTTTGAAGAGGACGTGGGTAGCACCGATGCAATCCTGTGTGTATTTGCTTAGAACTGAGGCTGTCAGCCTAACCATGTCTACTCAGAAGTAAGACCCACTGAATTCTTCTTCTTCTTCTTCTTCTTCTTCTTCTTCTTCTTCTTCTTATTTTTCGTTTTTTTCAAATTTCATTTACATTCAAACATTTAAAAAAAGACAAATATTGGATTCCTGGAATCCCCAGACTTCCCCTGCCTCACTCCTGGTTTCAAATATATATCTTTCCCCACTGCATCTAATTACATTTATCCACATTTTGTTTATATCCACTTTCAACCTTAAAAATATTAAACTATGTGTTATATCAATCCTGCCAACGTTGTTAATTGTTTACAGTGTTCTTTAAGGTACTCTATAAATTTATTCCTACTGAATTCAATTGAATTTACTCCCAGGGAAGTGAGGCTAGGATTGCAGCCTAAAGCCCACCTTGTCCAATGGGACTTTCTCATGAGTAAGAGTAAGGGATTGCAGCCTTTAGGCTCTTTTCTTTCTAATTTAGGCTGCAATCCTTACACTTCTGCCCGAAAATAACTGGCCCATGTGTGTGGGGGGGGGATCCCAAACTCATTAAAACACAATATTTGTTGTTGTTCTTTAGGCGTTTAGGTGTGTCCGACTCTTCGTGACCCCATAGACCAGAGCACGCCAGGCAATATTTAAAAACACAATATTAAAAGCAGCTTAAAACTACTTAACATTCACATAAACAAGGTGGGTCCTGAAAATAGACTCCTCATTTATCAAATGCCAGGGTAAAGAGGTGCATCTTCAGCAAACGTCAGAAACTACATAAAGTAGGTGCCATTTGCACCTCTGTGAGGACGGAGTTCCACAACTTAGGGGCCACCACAGAGAAGGCCCTCACCCACAGCAGCACCTGTTAAGGGTGGGAAAAAAATTACCATGAAGGCCCCCTTGTGCTGATCTTAGCACCTGAGAAGGTCCATAGGAAAGTGGGTTGTCTTTCAGGTATTTGAGTCGTTTCAGGATTAGAACACTTACATTGCCTTGAATTGGGCCTGGAAACGAACTGGCCACAAGTGCCACTGTTTTAAAACAGGGGTTGTGCAAGATCTAAAGGGAACCCTGGCGAGTATTCTGGCTGCTGCAATTGAATTTTCTCAGTTGTCTTCAAGGGCAGCCCCACGTAGAATGCATTGCAATAATTCATACTGGAAGTTTACACACACACACACACACACACACACACACAGTGCTTTTTTTTCTAAAAAAAATGTTTAGGGGTACTCTCATTTTGACTCAAGAAAATCACCATTTTATAGTTCAAAATGGGGAAAATAAATACAGTAAATGGACAAAAGTACAAAGGTTCACAAAATGTTTGTAAGCATCCTCCTGCGTCCCCCCAGAATAAAGCACTGCACACACACACACACACACACACACACACACAATATGTATATGTGTGTGTTCTGTTTAAAGCCCTGTGTACCAGTTCCTGCCAACACACCCAACGAAATACAAAGCACATTGACAAATATACACCAATGCACTCCATGCACCTTAGAAGTGGACGCCAGTTCTCAAAAGCTTATTTTGCCAGTTCAAAATTGTTGAACTAAGGTGCCTCCAGGCAGTCTTTGTGGCTGCCTTGTTGCGCAACAATCTCCTTAAACGGACGCAACCCTTGTGGGTAATTCTTAAAGGTCCAAGACCCCTCTGCATCTGAAGAAGGCGAGAACATCTCCTGCTCACAGCTTCTTTCTTTAAACTGCTCCTTCCTTCCCACTGGAGGAGAGTTAAGCTGTCTTCCCAAAGGGGCTTGATCCTGACATATCTGTGTGGAAACAGAGTTCGGAGTAATCATTTCCACTTTGAGCCAAACTTGCTTTTGCCCCGCCCCAGAGTGCTTGTCTCTATAGGATGGGAGGCTGGCTTAACTTGGGAATTTGTCCCGGTATATAAGCCAAGCCTCTGCCCTAAACAGTAATCAGCAAAATATTCTCTGCCTGGGACCCGAAAGCCTGGTAAGTGACTGAAAGGCTGTGCCTGAGTCATGGTGGTTTGTGGGTTTGCTAAGCTCTAGTGACCTCTTGTTCTTATTGTTGCTTCCTGACCACAAAGAAGCTTTTCTTTTGACTTCTGGGCTTGTTGCTAAAAAAGTTGGGGACTGGTTGCCAGAACTTTAATAAAGCTGCAATCCTTTGCCTTGTTATAAGGGGGCAGAAACTGCTCCTTTTCCCTTATGGGGTATCCAAGAGCCCATATAGAGTCCTTAAGTGGGTCCCCTATCAGAAGGGAAAATAACAGAGGCCAACCAGAGTATATTGAGAAGCAAAGCGGCTAGTAAGCCTGATCTTTATTAAACTGTTGCAACAGGGTCCCCACTCACCACACGCAGGAGGGAGGAGAACCCTGAACAATGGTGCGCGAGCCCTTTTATAGACTTTTGAAATTGCCCACCCTGTAGCCCAAGACCACTGCCCTAAAACATCCTACATACATCACAGAAAGAGGCGGTCTACAGCAGAGGAGGCAGTCTACAGCAGAAATCCTGTCTGCCAGGATACCTGATAATGATCATTGATTGCATAACCTGGGCAGCCTGGCAATTCTTTTGTGACTGTTAATACTTTCGTTCCTGAGTCCCAGGTCACAGGCTCACCCTATTCATACACAAATACACCCTTGAGACAGGATTTGCAAGCAAAAGACAATGGGCAGGCTTTCCCCATTTCCTTCCTCCCTGCAGTGAAATATTGGAGGTCAATTTGGGAGAGTCAAACTGGCTACAGGATTGCTCTCCTGTACTATTTCAGACACGTGGTTTATATACTTATGTATGTGTTTGCCTTGTACATTTATGAACATTTAATCTATATTTGAGACCTTAGAATTCTTATAACTGCCTGCATCTGTTCCACTCGTGAGGAAGCTCTAACGATTGGCCCTAAAAAACCCCAATTATTTTTGTTATAATTATTTTGTTTACTGCATTTTATAGCCAATCTTTTCCTCCAAAGAGTTCAAGGTGGCTTAAACGATTCTCCGCTTCCTCATTTAATCCCCACAAAAACAGGTAGGCTAGGCTGGGAGGTAGCAATTGGCTTAAGAGAGCCTTCTTGGCTGAGTGGAGATTTGAACCCTGGTTTCCTAGGTCCCGTGCTCTAACCACTAGGCCATACTGGTTCTATATTGCCGTACTGTGAACTTTAGAGCTTGCTGTTGTGAACCAACATTGCTGCATTTGTTTATTATGTGGTGTAGTGGCAGACCAGGATAGGGGAGGCCCTGGGTTCAAATCCTTATTTAGTCATGGGTGGGGTTTGCAGCCTGGGTTAGTTGCAACCTCTGAGCCTAGCAGAAATCAGCAAGGTGTCCTGTAAATGTTACTGGGTTTCAGCTCTGATCACTCCCTGGGAAATGAATTATCCTTTAAAAGTCAAGGAGCAGAAATGTCAATCTCGATCATCATCATCATCATAATATCATTTTTCATGTGTAAAATGACTGTCTGCTAAAACACAATAACCTGACTGACCGACTGACCTAGGGGTCCCATATTTCAAAAAGGTAAAAACTGGGACATCCTGAAAGTTCCTGAGCTTTTTCTGATTTTTTAAAAACCAATTTTTTGATTGACTTGCCTAAGATCCAGGACAAAGCACCACCCACTTTTTGAAATAATAATAAAAATTTATTATTTGTACCCCGCCCATCTGGCTGGGTTTCCACTCTGGGCGGCTTCCACAGAGACCAAAAATACACTAAAATGCTAAAAACTTCCATCCCTAACTTTTCTGTATTCTCCACTTGCCCTTTAGAGAACTCAAAAGAATGACTTAATGTCCCCCTCCCCCTCCTTATCGATTATATGCCCTTTTTATAGTGCCTTGATTTGTGTTACGGAATTTGTATGATTTAGCAAGCTTGCTGTGTTTTAACATTTACTTACAATGACTGTGACATTTACTTTATAATTGCTTTTAAGGTAGTCTTATATAGAAACTTTAGTGTACTGAAATAATAATAATAAAAAAATTATTTATAGAAGCTGGTAACTTTGAAGTTTTCAAGTCTGTGGGCTAGTTGACACAAGGACGTCTCTAGGCCTCGGTTGATCTCCTTTTCTATTTTGGCCGTTGAATGTATGGCTTGGAAGCCTTGGGAAAAGGCTGGTGTGGGAATGAGATGGCGTAATATAAAGTTCTCTCTGACTGTGGCGTTTGATCCATGGTCTCGCAGCGCACAGTTAAACTGTGGAACTCACTCCTGCAGGAGGCAGTAATGTTCACAATCTGGATGACTTGGAAAAAATTAGGCAAATTCATGGAATCATATAATTCTAGAGTTGCAAAGGGACCCCGGGGCCATCTAGTCCAACCCCTGCAATGCAGGAATTCTGCACACAGCCATCCATGGGTGGGCTCAAACCACAAACCTTCTGGTTGACCACCAGATTAAATTATGACTACAGTGCTACCTCGTGTTACATACGCTTCAGGTTACAGATGCTTCAGGTTACAGACTCCGCTAACCCAGAAATATTACCTCCTGTCAGATGTCAAGGAAATAAACAACTATCTGACTTTTAGAAGACATCTGAAGACAGCCCTATTTAGGGAAGTTTTTAATGTTTGCTGTTTACCGTATTTTTTGCACCATAACACTCACTTTTTTCCTCCTAGAAAGTAAGGGGAAATGTCTGTGCGTGTTATGGAGCGAATGCCTATGGGTGGCGGGGGGATCTGCTGCAGTCGTGAGCAGAGGATCCATGGTTCCCCTTCCTTCCCTCCTCCGTGGCTCACTTTGAAACAGCAAAGCGGGAGAAGAGCCGCTGAGTGGGGAGGAGAGAGGGACAGAGAGCCTGCTTGCTTTAAAGGAGCAAAGCGGGAGAGGAGAGGAGCCTTCTCCCCTTATACTCCTCTTCTTCATTATTAGCAGCATCCTTCTCCACACACCCCATGCGTGCTCCTTGTCCCTTGAGTGCTTTTCCTTCCCTCCCCACTTAAAACATGGTTACAAAGCACAGATCCACATGGATCCTCAGGATTTTTGCACTGGGTCACCCCAAATTCACCATCAGATCACATAGCATGTCCATGGCTACATCTTGCACCAAAAAAATCACGCACCCACTGTTGCCTGGGGCTGCAGTGGTGCAAAAATGTGGTTACAAAGCATGGATCCTCAGGATTTTTGCATTGGGCTACTCCAAACTCACTGTCAGAACACATGTCTGTGGCCACAGCATGAACCACAAAAATCATACACCCACTGTTTTGTTTAGAATATTTTTTTCCTTGTTTTCCTCCTCTAAAAACTACGTGTGTGTTATGGTCGGGTGCGTGTTATAGAGCGAAAAATACGGTAGTTGTGTTTTTAATATGCGGTTGAAGCCACCCAGAGTGGCTGGGGGAACCCAGCCAGATGGGCGGGGTATAAATAAATTATTGTTACGTTACGTTACGTTACGTTACGTTACATTACGTTATGTTATGTTACGATTTTATTTTATCATCTCTGTGATTGGACTCAAATGAAATTCCATAAGAATACAATAACCTTACCTGGTCAGGCCAAAGGTCCATCTAGTCCAGCATCCTGTTCTTCAGTGACCAATTAAATGCCTCCAGGAAACTCACAAACGGGACCCGAGCACAACAGCGCTCTAACTCCTTGCAGTTCCCAGCGACAGGTATGCATCCTGAGAGCGTTATTCTCCTCCATGACTTATCTAAACCTCTTGGAAACCCACCTGACTTGGTGGCCATTGCAACATCTCGTGGGAGCAAATCCCATCCTTCTCACTAGGTGCTGTGTTCTCATTGGATGTCTCTGAGTTCTGGGATTATGAGAAGAGGGGGCATGACTTCTCCCTATCCGCCTTCCCACACGATGCACAACTTTAAATTCAATTTTAAGCTGCAGTATGCATTGGATGTCTTTGAGTCATACACGTCCTGAATTATTTCAGCATTTGTTATCTTCAACCTCTCTTCTTCTTCTTCTTCTTCTTCTTCTTCTTCTTCTTCTTCTTTCTTGCAATTAGGTATTTCCAACAACCTGGTATTAACCTTATCCAGGGGTTGTATATATGTGATGATCATAGCTGTCAACGTTTCCCTTTTTTAAAGAGAAATTCCCTTATTCTGAATAGGATTCCTCGCAAGAAAAGGGAAAAGTTGACAGCTATGGTGATGATCTGTGTAGCGTGTGAAATTTGCAGAACTCATGTATTGGTGGTCACACATTGGGCAGAATGCTGGAGCTTTGGCCACCAAACTGCTCAAAACCTTCTGGGACATGGGGAGATAATACCCTTGGAAGCATGAGTGCATCTCTTTCAACCATGAGGACCAGAAACTTGCTATTAGTTCTTCGCACAAGAGCTGCAGTTCCAGCACTGCATTCTGTACTCTTATTCGTCGTGGAGTTTCATTTATTTTATTTCATAAAACCCATGCCCTGCTGGATTGTAAGAAGGAGGAGAACCTCAAAGCAGTTTGCAAGAAAGAGAAAACAATTGTATTATCAATAAGAAAAAAATAGCAACGATAATAGAGACTTTCAAAAAGTTAAAAGAACAAGAGATGAAAACACGCGTCAACTTCACAAAGCTCTGGCTAGGCTTTTCTAAAGAGAAATGATTTTGGCAGGCACCGAAAAGAGTACAGTGAAGGCCCCTGTCTGCTCTCAATAGGCAGAGAGTTCCAAAGTGTAGGTGCTGCCACACTAAAATATGCATTTCTTACAATTGCGGAACAGGTGGCACCTGTTATCACACCAGTTCCACCGGTTGAAGTGGTTACGAAGTAAGGTGATCTCTCAGGCAGACTGGTCCCAAGCTGTTAAGGCCTTTATATACTCTTCCTTTATTCTTATTTTATTTTTTAAAGGCAGCTGCCAATCAATATGTTTATATATGGTGGACAGATTAAGAACTGGAAGTTCTCTGAACCTTATCTTTTCTATCTCCTCTTTTAAGCTCTTTTCTATCTGCTTTCTGATTTCTCTAACTTTTTTTTCTTTCTCTTTTTCATCATGTGAACTTATTCAGATTAATGCTGGGCACAAAAGACCTTTGAAGTTTTGTATTTCTCTTTATAAACTCTAATTAAACTTTTTTTTAAAAAGATGCTAGCGGAAGAGAGTTGTTGCTAAACCAGGGAGAATAGAGACAGTGAACACGTGATAGCATCTGTGCTAAAGTTTGAGGAGTACAGAGTTCACAGCCATCTTGTGACGGGGAAGGAAAGAGCTGACGTCTTGAGGGTGGAGAAGGGATATTGAAGTCAAAGCCAGTGGTTGGCTCTAGTAATCTGGAGATGGGCATTAAGCTTTCTGGGATGTAAACAGAAGTCTCATTCTTGCAAGGAGCTGGTGAAGGAATAAGTCTCAGTCTGCACACTGTACCAACCTGAGACTGCAGGTAAGGACCGTAGGGCAGGTAGCCCGTTTTAAACTTAATAATCTTATAGCAAAGGCAGCGGACTCTCCTTCAATGGAGGTTTTTAAACAGAGGTCAGATGGCCATCTGTCAAGGATTCTTTAGTTGTGATTCCTGCATTGCAGGGGGTTGGACTAGATGACTCTTGGGTCCCTTCCAACTCTATGATTTGCCGCAACTTCAGATGATAATGTGCAGGACTGAATCTAGGTTTTTGTGGACAAATCGTGCTCGGGGGCGGGGGCAGCGCTTTTGCACTACTGATTCCTGGCAGGGGAGGTTTAATCCAGTTTGCATTTGAAAGCAAACTTCCCCAACTCAGAGTTTCCAAATTAATATGCTATGCAAGACATAGCTGCCCTTTGAAATTCAGCCGCCTTTGAATTTTGCAATGTGATTCTTCAGCCTAGGAATAAGTACAAAAAGGCACATGCTGTGATAAATTTTGTGTGTGTGTGTGTGTGTGTGTGTGTGTGCACGCAAATGCAATATTAGTGGAAATAGCATTTTAAATTGCTTTAGGAGAGTTTTATACAATAATGTTCCCCATTGCATATAATAATACTTTGCATACAATAATGTGCATATTAACAGAAGGTGGCACGAAAATGCTGGTTTCATGATGATTTTTCCCTGCATTGCAAACTGAGATGAGAATGTGGGGGGCTGAATTCAGGACTGGGAAAATGGGCAACTGGCTCCATCCAGTCTCACCTCTCATGTGATTTTGTGGCTCTCCTCAGCTCTGGGACTCCAGATGTGCTGTGTAGCCAAGTGCAGGAATGGCCACTCGGGTAATTTATGCCACAGTTCTGGACTAAGGGATTATCCACATTTAGCTTTTGCCCTGCTCTTTCCAGGCACAGGACTGTGCTTAAAAGCTCCATGTCAGACTGGTTGGTTGGTTTGCCCAGGAAAACCCACTCTTTAGTGCTCAATCAGAGCAAACGTCAATTTGAGTTTTCTTCAGATTGCAATTTGCTCCGATTGAGCTTTAAAGAGCAGGGTTTCATTGGAAATTTCTGGAGGGGGGGGGAGGATGCTTAGACATGGATCTTTAAAGCATGGGCTGTGCCTGGAAAGAGCGGAAGAATAAGCCCTATATGACCTTAGGATTCCTTCTGCTCTGCTGGGAAAGGGTTATAGCTCAGTGGCAGAGCATCTACTTTGCACAAAGAAGGTCCCAGGTTCAATCCCCAGGTGGGGTTGGGAGGGACCCCCTGCCTCAAAGCCCGGACAGCCTCTCCTAGTCCTTGTAGGCAACACTCAGCTAAACAGTCCAGTGGTTAGACTTGGTATAAAGCAGTTTCTTGCTTAAATCATCCCTTTATTCTGAAGCATGAGGACTAGAATCTTGCTTTGTTTTTGTTTTAGGAGAAGGGCCATAGCCTAATGGTTGAACATCTGCTTTGTACTCAGAAGGCCCCAGGTTCAATCTGCAGATATGCCTGCGAGTGTCCCCCTGCCTGAAGCCCTGGAGAGCCGCTGCCAGTCAGTGTAGACATTACTGAGCTAGATGGGCCAATGGCTTCCAATTTAAAATCACCCCTTTATTTTAGAACCACAAGGAACCTATTTGATGCTATGACTTGGAGCATCAGAATTTGCATGCAGAAGGTCCCATCAGGTAGGACTGAGAGAGACTCTCCTTTCATGTAGAGCTGCTGCCATTCAGTGTACACATTACTGAGCTAGATGGGCCAATGGCTTCTAATTTAAAATCACCCCTTTATTTTAGAACCACAAGGAACTTATTTAATGCCATGACTTGGAGCATCAGAATTCGCATGCAGAAGGTCCCATCAGGTGGGACTGACAGAGACTCTTTGCATGAAACCTTGGAGAGCTGCTGCCAGTCAGTGTAGACATTACTGAGCTAGATGGGCCAATGGTTCATTCATTCATTCAGGCTTTGTTGGCATAACAGGATCTGAGTCATCATGATGACTCTCCAGAATTGGGTGACGCTGCTCAGTGCCCAGCAATCTGGCCCGATTGCCCAACCGCTGCTGTTCCTTGCCACCTGACGCAACTGGGCTGGTGAGGCTGGCAGACACTCTGTCCCTTTTGGCAGCCCCACCCTGTCCCTGTTCAAAGGGCAGACGAGGTTCTTTGCTTCTATAAACAGAGAGGGCACTGGGACAAAATCCAGTAGCGCTGGCAGAGCAGCTGGTGAAAGTAAGTAAAAGGCCACGGGCGTTGCTTGACTTTGGGTCGTCTGTCAGCCTCATGCCAGACAGCAGAGCCAGTTATATTATTAAGGTGAGGAAGCTCAGAGGCACAGCATCTGCCTTGCATGCAGAAGGGTCCCAGGTTCAAATCCTGGCATCTCCAGATCAGGCAGATTCCTATTTCATTCAGGTCTTTTCTTTTTAACCTTAAGGACTAGAAAGTTTATTTTTGGGGAACAGGTTTTATAGCTTACTGGGAAATAGAGCGTCTGCTTTGTACAACAGGTTCAATCCTCAAGTCTCTCCAGGTAGGTTGTGTGCCTGAAGATTCACCCCAGTACTTACTGGTTTCCCTGAAGATTCACCCCAGTACTTACTGGTTTTCCCAATCTACAAGGGCTTATAGGCAGCCCTGTGCAAAGATTTAAGTCAATCGGTTGACAGATCAATTGGGTATCTGATTAACTTTTTATTAAGAAACAGGTCCGTCCGTCCATGCCCCCCCTTTCTGAAAAAGTGACCCGTTCTGTCTTTAGAGCAGCAATTTTAAGGAGGAAAGTTTGAGGGGATACTGAGTTAATTTTTTTCAGGGGAGCAAACTCTTTCTCTGACATAATGCCTGATTTTAAACATTATTTTAACTGTATATTTTATTCTTTTTTTAAAAAAAATTAAATACTTTTCAGATATATACATTTCGCTCATTTTACAATCATTTTGACATTTTAAAACTTGACTTCCTTCACCCTCTTTCTGTGGTGCCTTAAAATTATTTTTAATATCTTCTGCATATCCAAATTAACTTAACTTACTCATTTATTTATTTTCTTTAAATATATACTGCAGGTATTTTTATCTGTTTACAATTTATCTGTAAACATTCAACAAACCATTTCCATTCTTTTATAAAAAGTTTGTTATCTTGATTTCTTTTTCTCCCGTTAAGTTTTGCGAAACTGTATTTTATTCTGATCTATGAATTTTGTGTTTTTTGCAATGGCTTCAGCTACATACAAATAAACAGGTGGGGCTGGGAATGTCCCCTGCCTGAAACCCTGGAAAGCTGCTGCCAGTCAGTGTAGACAACAATGAGCTAGATGGGCCAATGGGCTAACCCAGTACTGGGCAGCTTCCTGTTTACTTCATTTCTGTTGGGGTTTTTTTATAGACCCATAAGGACTAGAATCTTGATTTATTCTTAGTCGAAGGGCTGTAGCTCAATGGTAGAGCATCTGCTTTGCATTCAGGATTGAATGTTCCCTGCCTGAAACCCTTGAGAGCAGCTGCCAGTCAGTGTAGACAACACTAAGCTTGATGAACTGCTGGTCTGACTCATTATAGGGCAGCTGCCAACGTTTCTACTTGGGGCTGGAACATCATGTCCCTTCCCTTCCCAACCGTCCCAATTTATGAGCTGCCTTATCATGAGACTTCCACGTCTTCTCTGCAATTGGCAAGAACTCTTTGCTGTACCAATAATCTTCTCCTTCTGGAACGCGCAGGTTAATTGGGGGTGCAACGTTAGGTGCAACTGGGAAGGTCTAATTGCTGCATTCTTTTGAACACTACACTCTAAAAACCTGCCCCACTAAAACACTGGATTGGCCTTGGTTTCTTTCCTTATATTACTGTATTTTTTCCTGCTGCTCTGAGTTCTCCCTCTTTGGATTTACCATCTTGTGTACAGTGGTACCTCAGGTTACAGACGCTTCAAGTTACAGATGCTTCAGGTTACAGATGCTTCAGGTTACAGACTCCGCTAACCCAGAAATAGTAACTCGGGTTAAGAACTTTGCTTCAGGATGAGAACAGAAATCGCGCAGCAGCGGCGCGGCAGTGGGAGGCCCCATTAGCTAAACTGGTGCTTCAGGTTAAGAACAGTTTCAGGTTAAGAACGGACCTCCAGAACGAATTAAGTTCTTAATCCGAGGTACCACTGTACTTCCTGAAACAAAAGGTTGCTGGATTGGCCAGCACCTTATGCTGGAGAGGAATTGCTTTTCAAATTGACATCCTGTATTAATATGAATGTTAAAAAGGTAAAGGGACCCCTGACCATTAGGTCCAGTCGTGGCCGACTCTGGGGTTGCGGTGCTCATCTCGCTTTATTGGCCGAGGGAGCCGGCGTACAGCTTCCGGGTCGTGGCCAGCATGACTAAACCGCTTCTGGCGAACCAGAGCAGCATACGGAAATGCTGTTTACCTTCCTGCTGGAGCGGTACCTATTTATCTGCTTGCACTTTGACGTGCTTTCGAACTGCTAGGTTGGCAGGAGCAGGGACCGAGCAACGGGAGCTCACCCTGTCACAGGGATTAGAACCGCCGACCTTCTGATCGGCAAGTCCTAGGCTCTGTGGTTTAACCCACAGTGCCACTTTCGTCCCTAATATGAATGTTAGGTCTACTGATTTTCATATTTATCTGTTTTCTCTTGGATGGCCCAGATAATATTTTGATACAGAGATGGCGGGCCTCTTTGCCTGGAGAGTCACGCCTTTATCTCCCCATCCCTATGGGCCAGGTTTGACAGGTGGGCAGGGCCATCCACCTGTCAGTCATCTAACAGTGTGATGACCCCCAGTCATGGCTTTCCAGAAAGGATTCTGGGAACTGTGTTTTGTTAAGAGCTGTTCCAGGGCTCTTTCCCTCCCCAGTCTTCAAGCCCCAAAGTTTATTGGAAACAGGTCTGGATTGTCAAATCACTCTAGGAATTGTAGCTCTGTGAGGGCAATAGCAGTCTCCTAGCAACTGCCCACACCCTTAACAAACTACATCTCCCAGAATTCCTTGGGGGAAGCTGTCACTGTTTGAAGTTGTATCATATTGCTTTAAATATATAGTGTGCATGGGGCCTAAGAGGACTGGTGACTCTAATCCTTAATGCTGCTGGCAGGGCTGTACACTACACCCTCTAAAAGGGGACAATGCAAAGGGGTGGCAGAACATCTGCTTTGCATGCAGAATATGCCCAGTTCAATTACTGGCATCTCCAGTTAGGACTGGGAGACACGCCTGCCTCAAACGCCGGAGAGATGCTGCCAATCAGTGTGGGCAATATCAAGCTTAAAAGACTCCCATGAGAGGCAGCTTCCTACAGAGCTCTATTAACTAAGCTTTCTCTCTCCCTGCAGTTTGGACCAAAAAATTCACCCTTTCTCAAGGATGGACTACGCAAAGAAGTCTCTGTGCTTGCTATCCCCTCGGTCGCTCACCAAGTAAGTACCTGCAGGGCAGTCCTCGCGACTGAGGGTGGTTAGCTGTGACTGCCTTGAGCTGATGGGGGGGGCTATAAATGCAATAATAAATGCATGCTAAAATGCTGGTGAATATTCATGATCAGTTTAACTTCCTCCTCCTCCTTACCCACAATATTACCATTAATTTATTAATTGCTTTCATATATATGAGGTTATATTTTCTGAGAATCCTCCGGAAAAACAATGTCTCAAAGGACCTGTTGATGGCATTTTACCATTGTACTGTGGAGAGTGTATTAATTTATAGTCTGTGTGTGTGGTTTGGGAGCTGCATGGTCAGGGGAAAAACAATGCTGTCCAGGGTTGTAAAGACTGCGGAGAGGATAATTGAGTGCACTCTTCCCACCTTGGATCAAATCTATGCTTCCAGGTGCCATAAGAAAGCTGCAGAGATAGTGCAGGATAGTGTGCACCCCAGAAATGATCTCTTTCAGCTTCTGCCTTCTGGAAGAAGGTACAGGGTTATAAAGACTAGGACTAGCCGCCTGAGAAACACTTTCTACCTAAATGCAATTTTGGTTTTAAACACATTGTAAGGAGTCTATATGGGAGTATATTGTATTTAAAAATGGAGTTCAGAGTTTTTAGGGGGCTAATCAGGTTGGGATAGCTGGGATAGCAGGCTTGTTGAATGTCTTACGTAGATTTTTCAATTCCGTTGTTCTGTATGGGACAATGACAGTAAAGATATCGTATCGTGTGTGTGTGTGTGTGTGTGTGTGTGTGTGTGTGTGTGTGTATGTGTGTATATAGTTTTACAATTAAAGTTTACATTCAAATATGAGTTAACATCACAAAAATATAGGATTCCCTGAATCCTTGGACTTCCCGTGGGTTATCTTGTAGCCTCTTTCTGTTGCATCTTATATTGTCCTCCATTTTTCTTTTAAAAAACCTCCATCATATCCTTAGTTCTTGTTACAAGTGTTGTCACAATCTTGCTAATGTTTTTAATTGTTTACAGTGTTCTCCAAGATAAATTATAAATTTTCCCCATTCCTTATTAAAGTTTTCATCTCCCTGGTTTCTGATTTTACCCGTCACTTTTGCCAATTCGGCGTAGTCCATCAACTTATTAATTGCCTTCTAAACAACCAACTCAAGGTGCTTTACATGATGGGTTCTATCCAGCTAACCTTTACTTGGAGCAGATCCATTGGAATGAATGCACTCAAGTTAGTCGTGCCCATTCAGTTTAATAGGTCTACTCTGAGTACAACAAGCATTGGCTATCATTCAAAAACCTCCAACCGGTGCAGTGAGGTGGCTAGTGGCCCTTAAAACTGGGGAACCAACTGAGAAACCAACATTTGATGGATTCCATCCATCCATCCATCCATCCAGGTGTGTGTCAGCCAACACTCCTCAAGCCCGGCCTTACCGAGTCAGCAACTGCGACCGCACCATCCGCAAGGGGATCATGGCCGACAGCCTGAGGGATCTCCACGAGAAGGTGAGCGATTCTAGGAGCCCTCTGCCAGAAGCAAGGTGGGATGGGTTGAGGGGACAGGTGGAATTTGAACCCGGTGCTTTCTCTCTAGGTACGCAGTGCCCTACTCTTAGCAGGCAACATCTCCATTGTCCTGGATGAAGATGGCACCACCGTCGAGACAGAGGAGTTCTTCCAGACTCTGGAGGATGGGACGGTCTTGCTGGTGTTGACCAAAGGACAGACATGGCGCCCAGCCAAGGTGAGCCAGTGGGCTAAGCCCTTTGCTAGTAGGACCTGGAGAGGGTTTCTATGGTGAACATGTTCTACTAGGCCGAAAGGTATGTGCATAGACCTTTATCTCTCACGTGTTACGGGGTCTAAGCTAGGGTCACCAGCTTGGCACTCCTGAGGTCTTCCTCCCAGCAGCCTAGCTAGCCGCTTGGGTACCTGGGGCAGCGCGCACGCCCTGAAGCCAGGGGCAGGGCGAGCTGCCAATGGGGGTGGGGCGAGCCAAGGCAGAGCGCGCTGCGTGGAGCCTCTCCGCAACCTCCCACTCAGCTGTAGGGCAGCTGAGGCGGTGGGCAGACGCAAGCCCCACGCTGCTCAAAAAAGAAGCGCAGAGCTTGCAGGCAGTCCGCCCACCGCCTCCCCCTCAGGAGAGACGCATGGCTCAGGCACGCTGCATGCCCCATGGTGTGGCGCCCAGTGCCCCCTGCCTCACCTGGCTACACCTCTGGATTAGGCAGATTTGTGGAGGAGAGGGCTGTCGAAGGCGACTAGCCATAAAGGCTGTGCTCTGCCTGCAAAGTTGGAGGCAGCAATGCTTCCTGGTTTCTGGAAATCACTCGAGGGGAGAGTGCTCTTGCTGTGGCATAGGAAGGGGTGTGCAGTGGGTGCGGGAGTTATTTTTTCCAGAAACACATATTTTTGCCGTTTTGTCAAACCCCCCCCCCCCAGTGATGACATCTGGGGCAGTCCTCACCCACTGCACCCCCTTCCTTTTTCCTTTTTTAAAATTTATTTATTTATTTTTATTTCAACAAAACATTTAATAAATGGCGTCGGTCGGGTATACCTGGAGGAGTGTCTCCAACTCCATCGTTCTGCCCAGACACTGAGGTCCAGCTCCGAGGGCCTTCTGGCAGTTCCCTCGCTGCGAGATGCCAAGTTACAGGGGACCAGGCAGAGGGCCTTCTCGGTAGTGGCACCCGCCCTGTGGAACACCCTCCCACCAGATGTCAAAGAGAAAAATAACTACCAAACTTTTAGAAGACATCTAAAGGCAGCTCTGTTTAGGGAAGCTTTTAATGTTTAATAGGTTATTGTATTTTAGTGTTTTGTTGGAAGCCGTCCAGAGTGGCTGGGGAAACCCAGCCAGATGGCTAGGGTATAAATAATAGTTTATAATAATAATAATTAATAATAATAATAATAATAATTTATTACAACGAAACATTATATATAGTTTCCCATATCAATTGTCAGATAATAGTACACATTTCTTCTTCTTCTTTTTTAACCCTCCCCTTTAACTCCTCCCCCCAAAACTTGTTCTCTCTTCAGATCTTTAACCATGTGCACAGATTATTCATTCTAATTTGGATGCTTGGGCTGGCTTCCCCCTGACCGCACCCCCTTCCTACGCCACTGCTTCCTCCTAATGCCCACAAAACCTCTTAAATTCCCCTGACCTCCACTCAGCTGTCTCCTTAGTCGTGAGGTGGTGTCAGGCGTGGAGTATCCTCTCTACCCCCAGCAGCTTCAGAGGCAAGAAGAAAACACAGTTCGTATTTTATGGCTTTTGATTCAGTCATCTGGTTGCAAGACAAAGGATCCATGTCTCCACGCATAGGAGACGTTGGCTACTCCTAGTCCCTCCTCTTCCGTCTCCCACAACATCCTGGAAATCTACGGGAAGTCACAGGAGTCAAATCCCTCCACATTCTCTGTTCTTGAATGTGGAGGGACCAGCGAGTCCGTGGACTAGGAGGGTCTCCCATACTCTCCAGGGAGGTCTCTGCTGTCTGCTCTCTCACTTCTTCCTCCTCCTCCACTATCTCATAACTAGGCATTTCCCCATTCAGCTGTACATCACCCCTGTCTCCCTCACCTCCCGAAACTGCTGGAGACATGGGGATCAAAATTCCCCACTCCTCCTCCTCTTCTGAGAGGAGCCGATCAGACTGAGGGCTCAATTTCCATTCCTCCTGTTCAGTCCAGTCCCTGACAGCTGGTGGAGGGAGGTTACCTTTTTTCTCCCTTGAAAAACGCATATTGCTGAAGGAGGTAGTTGGGAAAAGTGACAGTCTATCCCATTTTCTCTTCCAACTCTATGTGCTTTCTTGAGGTGTAGCAAATTCTACTGGAAACAAGTCTTCCCAGGTCACTTGGGAAATGAAGGGCACACTTTTTCTGTATCTTTGGCAAGGTGATGTGCGGAAAAGGGAGAGAGAGAAAGAGGTGATAGGGGGGTATGGAAGCTGCTCAAAAATCCAAATATGCCCATAGGCCTCGAAAGGTTGGTGACGCCTGGTCTAAGCAATGCAGATTCCTTCTAAAAGTAACTAGTAAAGGAAAAGGGACCCCTGACCGTTAGGTCCAGTCGTGGATGACTCTGGGGTTGCGGTGCTCATCTCGCTTTATTGGCCGAGGGAACCGGTGTACAGCATGTGGCCAACATGACCAAGCCGCTTCTGGCGAACCAGAGCAGCACACGGAAACACCGTTTACCTTCCCGCCGGAGCAGTACCTATTTATCTACTTGCACTTTGATGTTCTTTCGAACTGCTAGGTTGGCAGGAGCAGGGACCGAACAACAGGAGCTCACCCTGTCGCGGGGATTTGAACCACCGACCTTCTGATCAGCAAGTCCTAGGCTCTGTGGTTTAACCCGCAGCGCCATCCATGTCCCTCTAAAAGTAACTATTTAGGTCCAAAGTTGGTCCATTTTCTTTCCTGACTTTGGATTAAGCAAATGATGTTTACTCCTGCTGCCGCTATTTCAATGTGCACAACATGTTTTGACTACTGCAATGCTTTACATATGGGGCTGCCCCTGGAGACTTCACTGGTACACTTTTAGGTATACAGGGCCTATTGTAAGCCTACTTTTCTTTTTGTTTCCTGGCAGACAGCAGGCTACCAGCTCTCTCTGTCCCACAAGCCCCGGCGCAGGATTGACGTGGCCTGTGTAACCTTTGACCTCTACAAGACCGACCCTCGGGACTTCATTGGCTGCCTGAATGTCAAGGCCACGCTCTATGGGACGTACAGCATGTCTTATGATGTACAGTGCTATGGGGCCAAGAGGATAATGATGTGAGTATCAGTCTGTCTCTCAGCTCAGCTGAATTAGACCTACCTGATGGAGGAGAAATTCAATACAGTTCTCATTAAAGACAAACCTATCTAATTTACACTTCAGGAACTGAAATGTGTGGACTGAAATGTGGTCTTTCTGCAAAATTCACACTTTTTGTAGTGCTGTCCTCCAGCCAAGCAATGTGTAAAAAAAGAAAAGAAAAGAAAAAAGCATATGACTAGGATAAAGTCTGCCTAAAAACGCATATAATACTGAAAATGGGAAAATTACATTGCAAAAATGTATGCTGGGCAAAATTGCAAATAAGGACCTGAATATAAAATGGAATTCGCTGGTGGATTTTCTTGAGGACCCCTTTAAAAAAATGCAAAATAATGTGAAATTTGGAGAATTGAAGACTGGGATAAATTAGAAACTGGAATAGTTGGGTTCACCCATTGATGTGGGTATGAACTGTTTTGGAGACAACCTGCTTTTAGATTCCAATTCTATATTGCATTTCCCCCCTTAACAAGGGGCTCATGCTGCACCCATGCATCAGATCACATTAATATAAAGCGAGCGAACATTCTCTCGTTCAAACACTTGAGCTATCAGTAAAACGCACTGCCCCTTCCCAATTTTCAGCCAAATCATTGTCCTCCTGTAGCATTTCAGAAAACCGGTAGCTAATGGGAATGTAGCCGCTGCCACCACCACTATCACTGCTTCCGGTTGCTCAAGCATCAAGATCATTGAGGACAGTGGCATTGCCTTCCCTGCCCTGTTGCAAAAATAGATTTGCCCTTGAAGCATAAAACTGTGTCCTGAGCGTGCATACCCAGGGGCAGAGGAAGGGGTGTGCGGTGGGGGCGGGCCACCCCAGCTGTCACCACTGAGGGGGGTGACAAAATGCCGGACGGCACTCACCGTGGGGCCTGCAGCACGCCCGAGCCACACGTCTCTCCCGGGAGTGATGCGGTGGCTTGGGCACCCGCAGGCTCCGCTCTGCCCCAAACAGTCCGCCCGCCGCCCCGCCGCCTCAGCTGTAGGGCAACTGAGTGGGAGGAGGCAGGCAGACACCTTGGAAGATGAAGAGAAGAAGAGTTTGGATTTGATATCCCGCTTTATCACTACCCTAAGGAGTCTCAAAGGGACGCAGGTGGCACTGTGGGTTATCTTACATCCAGCCTTATCTTATATCCACCTTTAAAGTACATTTATACTAACAGGGACGCGGGTGGTGCTGTGGGTTAAACCACAGAGCCTAGGACTTGCTGATCAAAAGGTTGGCGGTTCGAATCCCCACGATGGGGTGAGCTCCCGTTGCTCGGTCCCTGCTCCTGCCAACCTAGCAGTTCGAAAGCATGTCAAAGTGCAAGTAGATAAATAGGTACTGCTCCAGCAGCAAGGTAAACGGCGTTTCCGTGTGCTGCTCTGGTTCGCCAGAAACAGCTTAGGCATGCTGGCCACATGACCCGGAAGCTGTACGCCGGCTCCCTCGGCAAATAAAGTGAGATGAGCACCGCAACCCCAGAGTCAGACACGGCTGGACCCAATGGTCAGGGGTCCCCGTTCCCTTTCCCTTTAAGGAGTCTCAAAGCAGCTAAGAATCTCCTTTCCCTTCCTCCCTCTCTCCCAACAAATACTCTGTGAGGTGAGTGAGGCTGAGAGATTTCAGAGAAGTGTGACTAGCCCAAGGTCACCCAGCAGCTGCATGTGGAGGAGCAGGGAAGCGAACCCAGTTCACCATATTACGAGTCCACCGCTCTTAACCACTACACCACACTGGCCCCACGGAGAGTCCTGCCCTGGATCACCCTGCTCAGTGGGCAGCTGGCCCTGCCCCTGGGCGCAGGGCACGTGCGCCACCCGAGGTGCCCAATCGGCTTGCTCCACCACTGTGCATACCTGCTCAGAACACTGAGAGTTCTCTCCTGTTCAGAATCCTACCTGAATGCAAGTCGAATCTTTGACAAGGCTCCTCTCTCTCTCTCTCCCACCCCCCAGGGAAGCTCTACGCTGGACCCTCTTCACCATGCAAGCAACGGGTCACGTGTTGCTCGGCACGTCCTGTTACATGCAGCAGTTGCTGGATGCCACTGAGGAGCCAAAGGAGGAAAATGCGTCACCTCGGTGCCTCCTGCAGTCCCCTCCCACCAGGAAAATGCTGCAGTGATAGTTGGGGAGAATCTTGCCTGCCGCTGATTTTCATGCTGAGACTTTTGACATCCCCTGCACAATGTAGCCACGCGGACTAAGGTGTTGTAGGAAGGAGCACGAACATTCACGCCCCTGCCTGGCCCTCGGGCAGAAACTGCTGGGGATCCGGGAAGTCTCACTGCTGCTGTATTATTTAACCACACTCTAATTTATATTACTCTTTAATGGGATATTATCATTGCCATAACTCCCAGGCGGAAGCTGGTTGCCGTGCAGAGCCCAGCCTCCCCTTCACCTCCATGTATTTATTTTAGATATGGGATTTTAGCCTGCATGGTGTCAAGTCTTGTTCACGTGGGCTTGTATTGCATTGTTAATAAATATTGCATTAAAAAGGATTTTCTTAAACCGCCTGTTTCTCTCTCAGATGTATGTGGCCTTGGTGTCCTCCAGATTGTTTCGGTCCACAACGGCCTTCATCCCTGGCTAGGCATGGAAGAACCTGTCAATTTCACTTCTCTGTTTTGCTTCTTTCCTAATCCATACATTCAGTTCTCTACATTTCTTCAGCGAATTGCCGATTTCTTCCTTTAAAAAGATCCTCCTGGAATTTCTTCAGTGTTCTAGTACAAATTACTGCTAATAAACACTTCTTTTTTACTAATGCACACATTTTATTTTCATACATAAATGTATGTACGCGCACGCACGCACACATTTAGGATGTGGGCGTCTCTGTAGTCTAAGCTGCTGAGCCTCTTGGCCTTGCTGATCGGAAGGTTGGCAGTTCAAATCTCCACGGCGGGTTGAGCTCCCGTTCCTCTGTCTCAGCTCCTGCCAACCTAGCAGTTCGAAAGCACACCAGTGCAAGTAGAAAAATAGGTACTGTTGTGGCAGGAAGGTAAATGGTGTTTCCGTGCGCTCTGGTTTCCATCAAGGTGTTCTGAAGCAGTTTAGTCATGTTGGCCACATGACCCGGAAAGCTATCTGTAGACAAACGCCTGCTCCCTTGGCCTGAAAGCGAGATGAGCGCCGCAACCCTATAGTTGCCTTTGACTGGACTTAACCGTCCAGGGGTCATATTGTATATATATGCTTTCCCCGATATGTGCATTTTTGTAGTCTCTTATGGCAGAACCGCACTGCAAAATCTGGATGTGTGCAGTTTCAAAGGATAGTTCAGGGTTGGTTCTCATGTTGCAGGAAGTGCAAATCTGGTGCTGTTTTAGATGCAAATTGATTTCCCCCTTCATCTCTGGGGGTGGTGTGAGTTGCAGTCCACCAAGATCTGGAGGGGGCACACATTGGTTTCCTCTATTTCCCTGCGTTAAATGTTTCCTCTCCGGTGTGATCAGGGAGGAGTTTGGGATGGGTCACTTCATATTTCTGATCTGTGGTCACTTTGTATTTGACCTAATAAGTAGGGAGGGTGTATTTTTCACTTCCCTCCGTTTCTCATTTTACCTAAACATTTAAGTTCAGTTGCAGATCACTTTGCATTAAAAAAATCCAAAGAACCTCTGCACACATTAATTTTTTCAAGCAGTTTCCACAAACAGAACACATTTTTGAACTTGTTTTTTGTCGTTGGTAGTCCCCAGGTCATCAAAAAACATTGATGGAACCTCTTTTAGCCTTTATCCTTTATCTTTTAGCCTTTAGCCTTTATCTTACATCCACCTTTAAAGTACATTTATACTAACAGGGACGCGGGTGGCGCTGTGGGTTAAACCACAGAGCCTAGGACTTGCCGATCAAAAGGTTGGTGGTTCGAATCCCCACGATGGGGTGAGCTCCCGTTGCTCGGTCCCTGCTCCTGCCAACCTAGCAGTTCGAAAGCACGTCAAAGTGCAAGTAGATAAATAGGTACCACTCTGGCGGGAAGGTAAATGGCGTTTCCGTGCGCTACTCTGGTTTGCCAGAAGCGGCTTAGTCATGCTGGCCACATGGCCCGGAAGCTGTATGCCGGCTCCCTCAGCCAATAAAGCGAGATGAGCGCCGCAACCCCAGAGTCGGCCACGACTGGACCTAATGGTCAGGGGTCCCTTTACCTTTATAACTAATAGTCCTACCAAACTTCCCTGTGAACTGTAGTTTACCCTTCACAGAGCTACAATTCCCAGCACCCTTAACAAACTACAGTCCTCAGGATTCTAAAGCCAAACACTTCACATATCCAGTATGGATGTGGCTTTAGTTTACAGACCATAAAAAAGTCCTGCTTTAGCAAAAGTCAAACTGGAGAAAAGTTCAGGTCCTGTTGCTCTTAGCCCTTGCACCATGATACACAGAGCTGTGATTGCTCCATCTCTAAGTTAGTGATGAAGCCAGCTGTGTTAGAGAGGCAGCCTTACACCAGCTTCTTCCCCTAGGAAATGTGTGCAGCATTTATCCTCTGGCACAGATAATGAAATATAGAACCTATTTATGTCAGGGTAAGTGTGATGTGCCCAACATGCTAAGCCAAAAAGAAAGAAACAAACAAAAACAAATAAGTTACGTTTGCTCCGTTTTGCTTCATTTAGAGGCATTTAAGGATGCTCAATGATTGGGGGTTTTTTCCCCTGCTTGCAAAATGCAAGTTTGTTTTGAAAGCTCCCAAAAAGAGTTGCACAAGCTAGGCAGTTGCTGGCAGCCGACAGTTGAGTTGATGGGCAGTCCGGGAAAAGGAATTTAACAGGCTCTGCCTTGAGAGCTTGATGGCCTTTCAGAAATGTTTGTAACTACCTGAAATTGCAAGAGTGATTTTGACTCTGCTCTCTATTGATTGTGTAAGTGTGTGTATTCATTTTGCAGGCCTCTCATGTCTCGCCCCTGACCCACCCACCCACCCCCATTTCCAGAGCAAGCTGAGCCTTTCCATGTCAGGGAAGATGCAGTGATGAAAACACCTGGAACAAACCAGTGGGGAGCTGCAACAAAATATTGCCGTGTATCGTATCCCCTTCTCTCCTGTTTGGGGCTCCAGCCACACTGAACAGGGGCCTTCCAGTGCTGTTGGGAGGCTCAAAGGAGATATTCTCCTGAAGCTTTCACACACCTTTGCTATATCCCAGGGACTGGGAACTGGATTCCACCAGTGCGCCGGATCCCTCGGCCTCCCACCTTCAGTGGGCTGGACCACCAACCTCTCAAAAGTTGGAAGGAGATTGTTGTAGCAGCTGCTTGGGTGGGTTGCAGTCACGCCATAAGCATCATAGCCAAGTGAGGAATTGAACTCTGGTCTCCCAGGTTCTAGTCCAACTAATAATAATAATAATAATAATAATTTTTTAAAAAATATTATTTATACCCCGCCCATCTGGCTGAGTTTCCCCAGCCACTCTGGGCGGCTACCAACAGAATATTAAAATACAATAACTTATTAAACATTAAAAGCTTCCCTAAACAAGGCTGCCTTCAGATGTCTTCTAAAAGTCTGGTAGTTGTTTTCTCTTTGACATCTGGTGGGAGGGCGTTGCACAGGGCGGGTGCCACTACTGAGAAGGTTCCCTGTAACTTGGCCTGGTTCCCTGTAACTTGGCTTCTTGCTGTGAGGGAACCGCCAGAAGACCCTAGGCACTGGACCTCAGTGTCCTGGCAGAACGATGCAGGTGGAGACGCTCTTTCAGGTATACTGGACCGAGGCTGTTTCTCACTAATCACTATCCCACACTAGTTCTTTAACTATGCACAGTGTGAAGAAGTCCTTTCAGCATGGATCAAAGAACCTTCCAACACTCAGCCTCATTGGCAGCCCAATGAGTTACAGTGTTATGGCTCTAACTGACTATCACTATGGGACGCGGGTGGCGCTGTGGGTTAAACCACAGAGCCTAGGACTTGCCAATCAGAAGGTCGGCGGTTTGAATCCCCACGATGGGGTGAGCTCCCGTTGCTCGGTCCCTGCTCCTGCCAACCTAGCAGTTCGAAAGCACGTCAAAGTGCAAGTAGATAAATAGGTACCGCTCCAGAACCAAAAAAGCCGGAGACGCAAGTTTGGGAGTCCCTGATCTAAACTGAAAAACCCCAAAAGCTGCACCCTGCTGATCGTTTGAATTGCCCTTTTCCAAATCTACAGTATCTTTTTTGAGGGGAGGTGACCAGAGGTCTGGACAGGCAGATTTGAGCCTGGAAACTGAGGTTGCCTGCCCTTCCTCTGGTAAGACATCTCATGATACAAGAAGATGCGAGCTTTCACTTTGCACAGAATATCTCCTTCAGACAGAGTGCCTTCCCAGCTTTCACCTGGCTTCATCAGCGTTCTCCTTCAAGGACGTCCTTACTGATTTCCAGCAGAGCTACTTGCCCCCCGAGGGGAACAGAGTCAGGACTTCTCTGTCGAACAGGAGGACAGCGCTTCCCGCACATTTCAGGAAGTGTGAGTAACATTCATTAGCACCCAGGGTTGGAAGTAGCTTAGCGGGACAAGGCAGAGGCACTGGCAAGATGAAAAATCACTCTCAGCCCTGCCGCCAACCTTACGCTGCCCATTATCCACAGTGGCTTTAATTAACAGCTAACCTCAGACACTTCCACCATCTCGAATACCTTGGAGGCCCTGGAGAGATGGAGCCCAATGATAGTAAAGCCCTTTCTGGTTCTTTCATGCCACACAAGAAATGGTGTCTGGAAAACCTAATGCAACCTTTGGCAACTTGGTGCCCACCAGATATTTTGGACTACAACTCCAGCAGAACCCCAACCAGTGTGGTTTACTTCTTGAGTAGGGCTGGGCTGGGCAATTGCAGAGCAAGCTAAGAATCAACAGCAGGAGGCAGAGCTAATATAGATGAAGCTGACGACTGAAGGGTCAAGGAAACAAACTTGGGACATACGAAAGTCTGTGCCCAGGACAGGGAAACTGTGGCCCTCTGGATGTTGATGAAATCCAACCCCCATCATCCACCCGTGGCTACAGATCTCCCATTCTGGGTCTACTCCATTTCATGTCTTCTATCCAGAAGCAAAATAACACCGCAGAGGCATCCAAGACAGATATCCAAACACTCAGGGGATATTCAAGTGTCCCTATTTTCCAAGCGCAGTTCCAGATATACATAAGCCGTCCCGGTTTCTGATTTGGTCCTGGAATGTCCCACTTTTCCTTAAGGCATCCCTATTTTCATCAGAGAAATGGTGTGGAGTTATACAACCCCCAAGCCAAGGAGATAAATAACTATACAACTTTCGAAAGACATCTGAAGGCAGCCCTGTATAATAGGGAAGATTTTTTAAATGTTTAATGTTTTACTATGTTTTTATATATGTTGGAAGCTGCCTAGAGTGGCTGGGGCAACCCAGTCAGATGGATGGGGTATAAATGTTGTTGTTGAATAGGTAAAGGTAAAGGGACCCCTGACCGTTAGGTCCAGTCATGGACAACTCTGGGGTTGCAGCGCTCATCTCGCTTTACTGGCTGAGGGAGCTGGCGTACAACTTCCGGGTCATGTGGCCAGCATGACTAATCTGCTTCTGGCGAACCAGAGCAGTGCATGGAAATGCCGTTTACCTTCCCGCTGGAGCGGTACCTATTTATCTATTTGCACTTTGTGCTTTCGAA